GAGACCAGCTCTCCAATCTAGAAAAGAGCCCCCTCTCTGCAGGGCAGAGTATAGCCTGGGGTGGAGGGTGAGGGGCAGGAAGTGTGGGGAAACCAGAGAGGCCAATGCAGTGTCCAGGGAGAGGATGCTAGCTGAAACAAGCAGTAAGTAGGAGAAAGAAGTGGATAAAGGGTCATTTGGGATATGAAATAAGGCTTAGCCATGGGTAGAGCCCAGCATGCCTACGAGCCACCAGATGGACACCTACGGTGCCCCTCTTGAGAGAGGGAAGACAGCATCCGAGACATGTTAGACGGAAGGATCAGCATCACCTTGGCCGAGGACTGAGCCTCCGTGTTTGAGGTTTTAGGAAGAAGGCAAAGGTAGCAAAAGAGAGGCAGGAGTTGGGAGAATGACAAATGGCAGCCATGACTGATGCTGTTGGAAGGCCACTAACAATAACAGAGACCTGGTCAATGTGACAGCCTCAGGGCATTGGGACCTGAGGTTAGAGTTGGGGTCAGGGTAGGCAGAGCTCGGGGCTCAGGCTGGACAGTGGCCAGAGAGGAGGGATCTGTCCCTCTGTTCAGACAGAGGGCCCAGGAGCAGCATGGAGAGCCAGGCAAGGGGCATCTCCCCCTTCCCAAGCTGCCTAGGACCAGAGCTGAAGGTGAAAGTGAAAGAGAAGATGCAGAAAAAAGGGGCTGGCATGCTCTGAGGGAAGGTGAAAGCGAAAGGGGGAAGCTCAGTAGTGCAGCCCGAGAGAGGTCAAGGCTTCGGCCTTCCTCCGTGTTGATCCCACTCCTCTGACCCCCTGCCCACCTGGAGATGCAGAAGACAGCGCTAGAACCCCAAAAGGGCTTCTCCTTCGAAAACTGCGAGAGGTGAGTGGGGGAATGGTTGGTTCCCCAGCTGCCTACGCCCTCAGTGGGGGCTTCCGGGAGTGGGAGCCCCAGGGTCTTTAAAATTCCTGGGGGCGAGAGTGGGGGAAGGTACGTGTGTGGAACGATTTGGGTTCCCAGGCTTACCCCAAAGGTGAGGGTAACCGGGACGGAGTTAGGGGATGTGATGACGGTCCCAGAAGAACTGAAACCTGGGTTTCTCCCCTCCGTTTCCAGAAACGCAGCCTTGGAACGCTCCCTCCCGGGGCTCCGTGTCCCTCATGCACGCAAGACCGGAACCACCATCGCAGGCCTTGTGTTCCGGGTGAGTAGGGCGTTGGGACTGTAACACTCAGAGGAGCGGCCGGGAATGGGAGGTGGGCACTGAACCAATGGGTCCTCCCCACCCCCCCAGGACGGGGTCATCCTGGGCGCGGATACGCGGGCCACTAACGATTCGATCGTGGCGTACCAGAGCTGCGAAAAGATCCACTTCATCGCCCCTAAAATCTAGTGAGCATTCCCCCGCCCAGTTCCCCCCTCAAGAACCGCCCCCTCGTTCCCATCCCGGGTCCCAGCACATCCATAGTCCCGCCCACACGAACCCTCCCTTCGCCTTCAGCTGCTGTGGGGCTGGAGTAGCCGCGGACGCAGAGATGACCACGCGGATGGCGGCGTCTAACACGGAGCTACACGCGCTGTCCACAGGCCGCGAGCCCCGCGTGGCCACGGTCACCCGCGCGTTGCGCCAGAC